CGAGTGGCGCTGTATTTGTTCCCGCCCCGCGGCGTCGCCACGTGGCGAATAGAAAGGAATATGCGTTTTCGCCTCACCAGGCGTTGCCACGTGGCGAGTAGACTGAGATTGCATATGTTCGGCCCGCGCGGAATTGCCACGTGATGAGTAGAGTGGAGTTATACTTCTTGTTCGCCTCCCGTGTCGTTGCCTCGTGGCGAGTGAAGTGGGATAGTTTTTTGTTTGCTTCTCAGGCCTTGCCACGTGGCGTTGCCATATGGTGAGCAGAGTGGAGTAGCATAGAGTGTAGTATTTGGGTTTGGCCCCTAGGAACTGCCACGTGGCGAGTACAGTGGAGTAGTGTGTGTTTCTCCCTTTCCGAGCGTTAGCACGTGGCGAGGGGAGTGGCGCAGTATTTGTTTCGTTTCTGCCACGTGGCGAGTTGGAGTGGAGAAGTTTCGGTTTCGCTCTCCAGTCGCTTCCTCGTGGCAATTCGAGTGGAGTAGTATTGTTTTCCGCCCCGCATCCGCGCGAATTACAACTGGGCGAGCTTACACCCAGGCGAATGTTGGCTGGATGAGTTCAAAACTTGTCAAATTTGGATCGGATGAAATTTATCGGGTGAATCGAGACGGGTGATTTTGAATCCGAGTGAAACAAAACACGTAATCGTTCCAGGGCCCCTCTTGGGCTCTTCGATGGGGTCTGGGGAACCTCTTGGGACGGTCTTGAGCCGCATAGCCAGCAAAAGAGGAACGAAGTTGTTGGCCATCTTCTCGGAGGCCCAAATCTTTCAGAAACCTGAGGAAAATCAGTGTGTTTTGCCTTCTCTCGCGGGCAATCTTGAACGCTCTAACCCCTCGGGACCCCTCCCCCGTCCAGACCCAGGGGAGGTGTCAAGCTGCCCCAAGCCGCAAGCCGTGTCGCTCACTCCCACCCGTTCTCCCAACATTTGAATTGCACCCGAGTCTCAGCATAGGCAGGGGCAGCCATCGACAACCATCGGGAATCAATACAGACGCCAGCCAGGTGCGCCACGGGCACCAGGTGCGCCATATTAGGCAATATGTCGACCGCCCACACCATCCTTGTCAAAAACCTCTGCAAAGTGACGGCGGGTTTTCGGGCATTGAATTGTGTGTGGGTGTGCACCCGCAGTCATTTTACGTTTGTTTCCGACGGATGGTGGGTCTGCACAGCAGACAGCATGCCGCCGCCCCCCGCCGTCCCTGGCAAAGTAAACTTGTCGTTTGTTATAAATGGGGTGGTTGGCCTGCGCGCAGCAGACAATATGCCCCCCCCCACCGCGGCCCCTGACAAAGACCCATGTAAAGCGATCGCGGGGCGTCCGCGCATATTGCAGATTTTCTCGCAAAACTCAAGGCGTGGTGGGTGCATTGCACAGCAGGCAAGATCTGCCAGAACCCCGCCCGTCGGAAAGTGATCGAAGGGCGCCTGCGCACGGTCCAAATTCTGCCGCAATGTGCATTTTGTTTTGTTTTCTGACAGGGATGGCTGGGGGGGCCCTATTGGCCCAGGTTTTTCGCCAGTCGGGTGGGGAGGGTGTGTGCATTAATAAGGAACAGTGATGTGTCCCTCCCCCAAGCAGGGGAAGGAGGGTTTGGGAAGAGGGGAGACAACAATTCGTTATACCACCTTCGCCCAGAGGGCTGGCGGGATTTCCAGCTTTGGTATTGTAAGTGGTGGTGAGGTCTCAGGCGAAAAGCCCGGCCCGCTGTAACGACACGCCTGGTGGTGCGGCAGGGAGGAGTTCATTATAAGGAAAAGGGATGGAGGATGGAGGAGAAAGAGGCGGAGGAAGGGGTGATGGGGGGGCAGGTGCGAGCTGGGATGGGCGGGGCACGGGGAGGCGTGAAAGAAGCAGCGAGGCCTTCATTTTTTCCTCCACACCTCTCCTTCTGTCCCCCCGTCCCCCTCCAGACTTGACACCGTTGGCGATCCTGCTCGTGAGAAGGGCGAACAGACGGAGAAGACGACGACTACGATGCTGGCCACGATGCTGGCGGCGATGGCTGATGGTCACGACCAAGGCGACGCCGGCGGTGCTGGTGACGGTGACACAGGCGGCGGCGACGGCGACGACGACACCCCCGCTGTTTTCTTCGGTCTTTTTCTCGATCGTCTGACCCTCCTTGTCATCCTCCCCTCCTTGATGTTATCCCCGTGCCAGGACGGCACCTGCTGCACGCCAGAGATGTGGAACAACCTGGGCACCCTGAGGAGTCCCTGGCCAAGGGAGGAAGGCGAAGAGGAGTTCTACGTCTTTGGTCCTTTTTGGGCCACTGGGCGGGGCCCTCGTCGCCATGGCTGGATTCGCCTGGGGGTCCTGGTCAAAGCGCGTCACAGGTGAGGTCTCGGGGCGATTTTGAGGAGGGGGAGGGGCAGGACAAGCTTCGGTGCGCTCGCACCATATCCGACATCCTATCCTTCCCTCCCATCCCTTACCATTGCGCTGATGTTCTATCTATCCGCGGACGCGTGTTATAGCCGACCTGGAACTCCACAACAGACCCCGATCGTGTTATGCGCAGTCGGAAAAAGGGAAATTCTTCACGCTTCGCGTATCCCCACCAGCCCATCTCAAAACAGCAACTCTTGCAGAGCATGCCGACAGTCGTGTTTTTCAGGCGTGTTTCCGCCTGCCCCCGCATATCTCCCCTGTTCCTCCTTCCTCCCGCCCCCTTGTACATCCTCCTTGTGGTGGGAGCGGGAGAAGGACGAGGCGGAGGAGGAGGGAGAGAAAGTGCTCCTCGTGGTTTGAGTCGTTTGGGGTTGCTCGTCCTGGTGTGAGTCGTTCGGGCCCTTCTTCCTGGTGTGAGTCGTTCGGGCTCTTCGTGGTGTGAGTCGTTCGGGCTCTTCGTCCTGGTGTGAGTCGTTCGGGCTTCTCGTGGTGTGAGTTGTTCGGGCCCCTCGTCCTGGTGTGAGTCGTTCGGGCCCCTCCTCCTGGTGTGACTCGTTCGGGCTCCTCGTGGTGTGAGTCGTTCGGGGCCCTCGTCGTGGTGTGAGTCGTTCGGGCTCCTCGTGGTGTGAGTCGTTCGGGCGCCTCGTCCTGGTGTGAGTCGTTCGGGCCTGGAGCCTCTTGGAGGCCTTTTGGGGCGTCTTGGGGGCCTCTTGGCGGCCCCAGGGGCTTCTAGGAGCGTCTTGGGTGCCTTGGGGGAGCCTCTTCGGGCCTCTTGGGAGCCTCTTGGAGGCCGTTTGGGGCGTCTTGGGGGCCTCTTGGCGGCCCCAGGGGCTTCCAGGAGCGTCTTGGGTGCCTCGGGGGAGCCTCTTGGGGCCTCTTGGGGGCCTCTTGGGGGCATCTTGGGGGCCTCTTGGAGGCCTCTTGGGGCCTCTTGGGGCTCTTTGGGAGGGGTCTGGGAGGTATCTTGGGGCCATCTTTCGGGCGATCGATCACAGATGGGGCGAGCACTTTTCTCCTCCCCCCCGTCGGGGCCAGAATCCTCGTGAGGGGTGTCGAATTTTAGCCCTCCCAGGAGTCGAAAACGACCCCTCCAACGACCCGCGAAACCCCCTCTCCAGGTCCAGGGGGAGGGGGTAGGGGGAGGGGTAAACCCATCCCCGAAGGGGAAGAAGGGGGGTTGAGAACAGAGAGAGCTCGCTAAACCACTCACGCCCAAAGGGCTGGTGGGACTTGTGGGACCTGTGCGACCTGGGGACCTCTGTGGCCTGTGGGGCTTGTGAAACCTGCGACGCCTGCGAGACCTATGGGACCCGTGGGACCTGTGGGGACTGGGGGACCACTGTGGGACTTGTGAGACATGCGACACCTCTGGGACTTGTGGGACCTGCGGGACCTGTCGGACCTGTGGGAACTGTGGAGCATGCGAGACCTGCGACACCTGTGGGACCTGTGGAACCTGTCAGACCAGTAGTACCTGTGAGACCTGTGGGGCGACCTGCGACACTCGTGGGTTCTGTGGGACCCGTTGCGCCTGCGAGACCTGCGAGTTTGGGACCTGCGAGACTTGTTGGATCCACAGAAGTGGCCCACGCTGGGGCGGGAGTGCCATTCTTAACGACGGGAGCGCAGCGCCGATCCGCAGCTGAGGCCCACCCTGCAGCGAGAGTACCTTTCTTGAACACTGTAAACAATCAGATTGTAAACAAAAAACATATGCAAGGCCAGTTCGCACAAATCCCGTGTAAAAAAGCAGGGCGTGGAGGGGGGGGCGAGCACTCTCATGACATTTCTGGGGGGGAGAGAGGAGAGTAGTATTCATAGTGTGTAACTGCTAAGGAGAAGGAGAAGGATGAGTGTTTGAGATACGTTCGGTGGTTTTCTTATGTCTCACGCGGTGTTCGGGCGTTCGGGGAGGTCTTCGCAGGCTCCTGGACGTTACTGTGAGACGAGAGGAGGGTGGGAGAGGATGGCTGGTTGACATGTGTGCTCGTTCAAATACACCAGGCGGAGGAGGAGAGCAGTCTGCCTTTTTTTAGGAACCAGAGGAGCCAGAGGAGGAGGAGGAGGAGGAGGAGGAGGAGGAGGAGGAGGAGGAAGAGGCAGTGCGGCAAAGGACAATGATGTGGACAAAGCGTATGCGCTCTACCACACTCGTCGACGCTCCACAAGTGAACGGAGCTCATCACTACCATTTTCGGAGTTGTGGAGGGTTGCATTCCCCTCCTCGCCATCCTTGTCCTTATCCGCTCTTCCACCCAGCTCCTGCTCCTACTCTCCCTCCAACGCCGAAAGTCCTGGACGAAGTCGAGGGCGAAGCCGAAGACAACGACGAATGACGAACGAACAGGGTCGAGCGACGACCGACTACCGACGACCACGACGACCCACGAAGGACGAAACGTGAAGGTCGAAAGACGATCGACGGATGACGACCACGACCACGACCACGACGACGACCATGCGTCCAGGCCGAGGTGAAGGTCTTGGGCCGTCCTCCTCGCCCAGTGGTCTTTGGAGGCGCAACAAGCGCCCAAGGCGTCGAAACGCTTCCGCCCTCTCACTTCGAACCTTTGTACCTCGTACTTCGCCACCGCCGGCGATGGCAACGGTGACAACGACAACGGTGCGCCGCAGGGGCCTCGGCGGCGACCTGCCGGGCGCCAGGGAGGCCTGGCACCCGCTTCCGCCGCCGCCCGCCGGCAGGTCACCGCCGCTTCCGCTGCCGCCGCCGAGGCGGGAAGCCAGGCCACCTCCAGGCCTCCAGGGGCGCGAGTAGAATCGCGCATTGCGTTTCGCGGCCTGGGCTGGAGAGGCCCTTCTCCTGAGCGGCGGCGCGAGAGCGCGAAGATAACCGCGCATGGCGGGGCGCGATGCGCAGAGTCAGGCGAGCCAGTGGAGTGGGGAGAAGGATCAGGGTTCGAGGATCGATGCTTTCAACAGTTTCCCGTTTGGGGGGGGGCGCTCCAGAAGGCTCGTTGTCGCCAGGGCTGGATTATCTTCGAAGTTCTGGCTAAACACACGCACACACACACCTGCACACCCGCACAAATCCGCACACACCCGCACACGCACACGCGCACGCACACGCACATGCACACATCCATGCAAGCATGCACGCACACACATGCACACACACACACACACATATGCACTCACACATACACACATACACACATACACATCTGCACACCTACACATACACACATACACGCATACACACATACACACATGCGCACATGCACGCCTGCACACATGTACACGTACGCACATACGTACATACCTACCTACCTATTTGCCTGCCTACCTACCTACATACCTATCTGCCTACCTACATGTATGCATACATACATACACACATACATACATACGTACATACATACATACATGCATACATACAATCATACATTCATACATACATACATACAGACAGACAGACAGACAGACAGACAGACATACATACATACATACATGCATACATGCATACCTGCATACATGCATACACACACATACATACATACATACATACATACATACACATACATACATATACACACATACATACATACATACATACATACATACATACATACATACATACATACATACATACATGCATACATGCATACATGCATACATGCATACATACATACATACACACATACATACATACATACACACATACATACATACATACATACCTATATACATACATACATACACATATGCACACATGCATACACACATACATACATACATGCATGCATCCATACATACATACACACATACTTACATACGTACATACATATATACATACATACATACACACACATACATACACACATATCTACCTACCTACACACATATATACATACATACATGCATACATACATAATGCATGCATGCATACATACATGCATACACACATACATACGTATGCATACATACATACATACATGCACACACGCACACGCACACGCACACGCACACGCATACACACACGCAGACACACACACACAAACACACGCACGCACGCACACACACAGACGCACACACACACACACAAAACACACACACACACGCACACGCACACGCACACGCACACAAACACGCAGACGCACACGCCCACGCACACGCACACGCACACGCCCACGCACACGCACACGCACACGCACAGGCACCCACACGCATACACACACACACAACACAACACACATGTTTTGCGTCGGCGGCTAGGCAGAATGACTGCGCTGGCGATGAACAACACACACACACACACATCTACACACACACACGCCTGAATGGTTGCAGGAGCTGATTCCTGGGGGAGAAGGGAGGATCGTGGCGGAAGGATGGAGGAGAGAGGAAGGGAGGAGGGAGGAGGGGAGGCGGCGAGGGGGGTGGAGGGGGAAGGATCGCGGAGGGAGCATGGAAAGGGGACCAGAAAGGTTGTGTCAACGGGACCCCGAGACGACGCCAGCAGTTTTGGGGCAGGAGACGGCAGCAGCTCTCGTGGATTGATTGTTGCTCCTGGAGGCTAGGGGGAACACTGAGTTCCCCACAGCCGCCTCCTGCGGTGATATACTCGCAGTCAGAGTGCAGAGCACCAGGAGGCCAGGCAAACAAAACCGAGCGGAGTCTCCAGACTCCTCGGCGGGGACACGGGCAGCCCTGACCAAGGGTTGTAGTAAGTCCTCCTCCCCCCTGAGCGACTCCGCCATTACCAGCAGTTGCTCTCCCAAGCGGCCGTCCTTCTCATGTGGCGGCTCCGCCGCTTGGACCGCCACCTCTCCCCGCAACAACACGGGTGGCTGATTCAGGGTGTGAGCGCGTTCCTTCCTGACACCAGTTTGAAGCCTCGGAAATGTTCCGATCGAGAGAGCCACGCTACAAATCAACGTTTGACATCCTGCGCGTAGAGTGCAGTGCCCGGCAGAAAAGGGGGGCCCGCTCGGACAGGATCTCGGGAGAGGAACATGTGATCGTTTTATCATTCTTTGTTTTGCCGATCGGCGCGGGCCCTCGCACCCCCTCGCCCCCCCCTGGAGTAGATCTTGGCCGTTTCTGGCGCCTGTCTTCAAGTAGGTGGAGTCTCCCCCATAGGACACACTATTGCAAACAGTCGCATTAGGCAGAGGTCCGGAGCCAGAACCCCCCCCCTTCCCCCCCCCGTCCGCCCAATATCGAAACGCCGAGTCAGAAAACCTTCACCCTTCGGATGGGGCCGTCTGACAGGGGCGCAGAGGGCGGGGAGGACGGAGGGTGGAGGAGGAAGTTCGGACGAAAGGGCAGGATGGGGAAAGGGGGGCTGACTCTCTACCCTGCCCTTGGCTATCCTACTCTTTCGCCCCCCCCCCCCCCCCCCCGAGGGGGGGAGGGCCGGGGAGGGAGGAGCGTGGCGCGAGCACTGGCCACTTGGTCGCCGCAGGCCTACACCCACGGCCTGCAGCTCGCCGAGCAGAGGCGCCTCGGGGGGAGGGGCCGCCCCAGGTGGCCAGGAGGGACGGGGAGGGAGAAGGCACGAGGGCGGGAAGGAGGATGAGGACGGAGGAGGGAGGGGGGGAGAAGGCACCAGGGGGGGAGAAGGCACAAGGAGGAGGAGGAGGAGGAGGAGGAGCAGGAGGAGCAGGAGGAGGAGGAGGAGGAGGAGCAGGAGGAGGAGGAGGGAGGAGGGAGGGAGGGAGGGAGGGAGGGAGAAGGCCTCCTGCGCCGAATTCAGGCCGGAAGCTTGTCCTCTGACGGCGTGGGCAGTGGTAGGCTCACCCGCAGACCTCTCGGCACGCTCGTTTCCCGCGCAGCCGTCGGCCAGAAGGTTGGGGTGGACGTGTCCCAGCAGCGGGTGTGCAGCGAGCAGTTTTGCACCCAGCCTCCTCCGCATCCGAGACATAGTCAGTGGCGTCGACAGGCGACGCCGTGCCCCTCGTCGCACCGACGTGCAAGAGCGAGTGCGACGAGCCAGTGAGAGGGAAAAACAATAACGAACGAAACAACAACTCTACGCGCTGAACCACCTCAGCCTGGAGGGCCGGTGTGATTCTCATTGCGCGGGCCCTTGGAGCTCTCAACCCTATTCCTAGGACTGGCTGGTCGTCGCGAGATTGAGAAGACGAGGCCTGAACCCTTCGCTCTCTCAATTCTCGACCGCCGGACCCTTCCAAGGGTGCGCTTCGAGCAGATCTAGCATCCATTCCCTACCCCACTTCTTAGCATCGCTCGGGCGTGTGCATTTTTTACGTAACAGCGAAGACTGATAGGTTTCTAATGGGGTCAAAAGAGAGCATCTGATGACTCCCCAGGAGGTTCTGGGCGGGAGCCGGACAGGCGAGGGCCGGGCTCGTTTTAAGCAAACAGTCACACAGTTCGTGCTCTTCGACCTGCCAGAACTCCATTCCCGGGCCACATTTTGAATGCCCGGAGCCAACTGTAGGCCATTTCGTGCTCTTCGACTTCCCAGAACTCCATTCCCGGGCCACATTTTGGATGCCCGGAGCCAACTGTAGGCCACTTCGTGTTCTTCGACTTCCCAGAACTCTGTTCCCGGGCCACATTTTGGATGCCCAGAGCCAACTGTAGGCCACTTCGTGCTCTTGGACTTCCCAGAAACCCATTCCCGGGCCACATTTTGAATGCCCGGAGCCAACTGGAGGCCACTTCGTGCTCTTCCACTTCCCAGAATTCCACTCCCGGGCCACATTTTGAATGCCCGGAGCCAACTGTAGGCCATTTCGTGGTCTTCGAGTTCCCAGAATTCCACTCCTGGACATGATTTTGAATGCCCGGAGCCAACTGTAGGCCACTTCGTGGTCTTCGAAATTCCCAAAACTCCAATTCCTGGGCATGGTTTTAAATGCTCGGAGCCAACTGTAGGCCACTTCGTGGTCTTCGAGTTCCCAGAATTCCATTCCTGGGCATGATTTTGAATGCCTGGAGCCAACTGTAGGCCACTTCGTGGTTTTCGAGTTCCCAGAACTCCATACCCGGGCCACATTTTGAATGCTGAGGCAGGCTGAGGCTGAGGCTGAGGCAGGCTGAGGCTGAGGCCGAGGCTGAAGGCAGAGGCTGAGGCTGAGGCTGCAGGCTGAGGCTGAGGCTGATGCAGGCTGAGGCTGAGGCAGGCTGAGGCTGAGGCCGAGGCTGAAGGCAGACTGAGGCTGAGGCTGAAGCAGGCTGAGGCTGAGGCTGAGGCAGGCTGAGGCTGAGGCTGAGGCAGGCTGATGCTGAGGCAGGCTGAGGCTGAGGCTGAGGCTGATGCAGGCTGAGGCTGAGGCAGGCTGAGGCTGAGGCCGAGGCTGAAGGCAGACTGAGGCTGAGGCTGAAGCAGGCTGAGGCTGAGGCTGAGGCAGGCTGAGGCTGAGGCTGAGGCAGGCTGATGCTGAGGCAGGCTGAGGCTGAGGCTGAGGCTGAGGCTGAGGCAGGCTGAGGCTGAGGCCGAGGCTGAAGGCAGACTGAGGCTGAGGCTGAAGCAGGCTAGGCTGAGGCTGCAGGCTGAGGCTGAGGCTGAGGCTGAGGCTGAGGCAGGCTGATGCTGAGGCAGGCTGAGGCTGAGGCTGAGGCTGATGCAGGCTGAGGCTGAGGCAGCTGAGGCTGAGGCCGAGGCTGAAGGCAGACTGAGGCTGAGGCTGAAGCAGGCTGGGCTGAGGCTGAGGCAGGCTGAGGCTGAGGCAGGCTGAGGCTGAGGCTGAGGCGGAGGAGGCTGAGGCTGTGACTGCGACTGCCGTTGCCACTGCGACTGTCATCGCGAATGCGACTGCGACTGCGAGAACAGCAGAATTCTACAACTGGATTCTCATCTGAATCTTAAGGGGAATGCTTCCAGATATGCTCCTACACATCGCTGTTAGGTTGCTTTGCTGGGATAATTTTTCGGCTAGGACCATTGAGGATTATTTTCGTTCACCTTGCGACAAAAATACACACGAAACTGAAAACTACACATGGAGAGGACGTCCGAGTGATGGCGAGACTTCGGACGGGGCTAGGACGAGGACAAGTCCCTTCCAGAGCGTTCCGGAGCGCTCTCAGAGCGTTCCGGAACGCTCTGAGAAGGCCGCGGCGCCAGAGACATCCTCCGGAGCCGCCGGATCTCGGAGATTCTCGATTTATCCTCACCCGAAATTGTCCTCGCCCTGGCTTCGTCTCACCACTGCGGTACTCTGAGTCACCCCCACGGGCGCGAGAGTCGCCCCAGGGACGCGAAGATCATCGCAGTTTGCCCGCCGCGGCCTGGGCCAGGGTGTTGCCCCTGCGCCAGGGCGGCCTCGCGAGGGCGCGAAGATAACCGCACGCCGCGGTGCGCGACTCGCGGAGCCAGGTGAGCGACACAGAAACACGGGCTTCAGTGCGCGGGCACTCGCGCGTGAGCTGCCCGCGTTTGGTTCGGGGGTTGCTCAAGGTGCCCCTGGCTCAAGCTACGCGCTCGTAGGATCGCGTGCCAGGTCGCGCGTAAGCGCCCTCGTTTTCAATGTAGCGTGCCGCGCCGGCTGCCCGCGTGAGGCACCGCGTGAGGTTCGCTGCGTCATCGTGCGTAAGACCTGTTAGTTTTCGTCGCTCAGGTGACCTTCGGTTTTGGCCAGGCCTATCATGGGCAAGGGATGCGGCTGGCTCACGATAGGCCTGACCAGGAGTAGACGTTCGAGAGAACAGCGGGTTCCCTCGCTATGCGTAGCCTCCCTCTCCTGCATGTGCTCCTCCTCCGTCGCCCTTGGCTTAAGGCTGCTCTAGGAGCGGCCCCTGCATTTTTTTTTGAGGTGGGCGGGCGAGGCCATAGCACGAGCCCGCTCCCTTCCGGGCCGCCTGGTTCGGGTCCATCCCCGAGCCCCCCCGCGCCACCTCACTCGAGGCGTGGGGGTGGCAGCCCGGGCCCGAGCGGGCTCTGCTCGGCGCCGCTGCGCGGCGCCTTCGCGGCGAGGGGCGCCGCGGCGGCGAAACACCCGGCGGCGCGAGAGGGGCAGGAGGAGAGCCTGGGCCCCCCCCCCGTGAGCCCAGAGGCTCCAGGAGGTTGGTTCAGCGAGGGGAATGAAGCCTGTTCGCGGCCTGGGGTGCACCCTGGTTCTGGCCATGGGCGCACTGGCGACCTGGTTTGATGTCTCGTTCGGGGTCAACTGGTACGCCACGGTCCATGCGTCCGCCACCATGACCAGACCTGAGGACGGAGGTCATGAACGTGCAGTGCCAGGCGATGAAGAAGAGGAGGAACAGCCGGACCAGCCCGACAACCAGGGCGAGGCCCGCTGCTCCGACGCGGGCGGAGATGAGTTACCATCGGTCGCGGCGCCCGAGGGGCCACCTCCACCTGCGGCGCCCCCCGCACCCGCCGAGCCCGTGGCCGCGGACCCGCCGCCAGCCATGGCCCGTCTGGGCGGGCGCTCCGCCCATTGGGGTCAGCGCTCCAGCGAGCACGACTACTACGGCTACTACTACGACGCCGCTGCCCCGCAGGCGGAGGCGAAGCCGCGCGAGGAGGCCAGCCCAGAGGCGGCACCCGCGCCCCCGCCGCCCGCCTCCGACGCCAGCGCCACGGAGACGACTGGAGCACCCCTGGCCGGAGACGCGGGGGCGGGGGGAGGGGCCTCAGAGGGAGCCCTCTCCCGCCGCCCGAGGAGCCCCCGAGCGGGGGCAACTCGACCATGGAGGAGAAGGCGACCCGGGCCGCGCCAGGCCCTCCCCCCGGCACCGCCGCGTCAGCGTCGCCCATCGGATTGGCTCGGGTCAACGAGTGGGTTGAGGTGGTGCTGAAGTGGCTCGGCGAGAGGCTAGGCCACGCCCTGGGCGCGCTGCTGCATCAGCTGATCACCTTCCTCATAGGCTTGGTCGATGCGATGGGCCAGTACCTCTTCGGCGCATTCTGGGCTAGGCTACAGTGGGCAGCCATGGGCCTCGTGGCCATGGTGGTGGCTAACTACGGTGCTCGGGTCGGCGGTGGGTTTCATGGCCTGGTTCATTCGCGCGGCGTGGGCGTGCGCCTCGGTCCTCGTCGGGGCGCCGAAGGGGTTCGCGGGTGGCAGCAAGACGGGGCACGACGTCATGGTTGTTCTGGACGGCGACCCCACGGCCGCGCTTGAATGGCACGGGCCCCGCGAGGCGAAGGCGGTGGACGAAAACTACATCGAGAGTGAGGTTCGGGCGCGTGGAGGAGGAGCCGAGAAGATGATGCCCAATGACCGCACCGTCAAGTCTGGCGGCTCCGTTGCGCGGCTCGAAGAGGGGCCCCTCAGGGGCGGCCGCGCCATTCGTCACGTGTACGTATTCGTCACGTGTGCGTTGATAAGTTCAGGGATGCGAAGGGCAGCTCTCGCCGCCATTTGAAGACCGACCTGGGGGCTATCAGGGATGACGAGGGTGTCGGCCAGGTCCACCTGCGCGCGGCCTCACCGTGCGCACTCCCCGAGGGCGATCGGCCGATGGCGCGCGTCAGCTCGTCGTGCGTGGTGAACCAAGAACCACAGCTCGCGAGTCAACGCGTC